GTATGTGCATTTGTTTCATGATCCCATTAACGATAGCCAAATGGCGGCCGCTTTAAGGCCGAAAATGCATTGAAATCGCACATTTTCACCATTCCGAACCCTGATCTCAGTTATGCATGGACGGATTTCGTTCAACTTTGGTACTTACATTAAACATAATAGGACCTTGATGCACGTCATTTTTTTTTCCGGATCAAGTTCGAAATGGCCGACTGGCGGCCATTTTCTTAAAGAATTCAGTTCTGGATCCGTATCCAAGACATGTCTGGATTGATCAAGTTCAAACTTCACACACACATGGTGCATCATGTCACAAATAGATATGTGCATTTGTTTCATGATCCGCTTAACAATAGCTGAATGATGGCCATTTTAAAACCGAAAATGCATTAAAATCACGTATTTTCACAATTCCGGAACCAGATCTCAGTCATGCATGGATGGATTTTGTTCAGATTTAGTACAATGTGTTGTACATATGCAGGTGCATTTCGGTCATGATCTGCTTTGAATGTATATGTCACTCAAATATGAACGGAACGGGGACGTGTCATTGACAATGACTTGTTCCATATTGGAATTCACATTTCCTAATATGGTAGGATGAAAATACCCTGTAAAATACCGCAAAATTACGGCACGCTGTAACTTATGGCATTACGGTGACAGATCTATAATATTAGATTATATGCCAAAACATTTCACTTCTTTATTTCAGTCATTAAGTAAAGTGGGTATTGTAGTAACAGATGCAGTGGTTTTATTAGACAGAGAACAGGGAGGAAAACAAAGACTTGAACACAAAGGTATCAATCTATACAGGCAAGTGAAAGATATTAACTGATAAAGTTTAATTAGTAATTTATACATGGTAATGAGGTCTTACGCTCAGGCACGCAGCCATGGGAGACTTTTTCCAAAAAATCGGTTGCAAATGATTCATCCTCTTGTACTGATTATATGGTAATGTTTATATTTCTTCATGTTAACAGACATGAGAGGAATTACACTTACAATTGTATCATGGACATGATTCAATACTTCCTATATGACAAATTACCATACTCGACCGCGTTAGCAAAAAAGTTAAAATGACAATTTTAATTCACCATGTGACAGATTGAGGGCGATATTATGTCTTTGAGGGAAAATAAAATTAAGAAATTAGTTGCATCGTCATTGTCTTTTACAATGAAGAAACAGAAATGGTCCCAAATATATTTATTACAATATTAATTACTTACCACCCAAATTTACAAGATTAAACACAGTCGAAGTTACCTGTATACCTGTAAGTTTTAAATTAGTGGCATTTTGAAGGGGTGGGCGCTTTGCCGTATGTGACCCAAATAAAAAAAATTGCACAAAAGTGGGGGGTTGGGCGCTTGACCGGCCATGGTTGTTAATGCGGTCAAGTACGGTAGTTTATTGAAATTTGTGTCTACACATATGTCCTACTGTAATTTGGAAGACAATCAATTCCAAGGTCAAAAATAATGTCAAACCTGTTGAGTAATGTTTCTCTAATATATGTATGAGTATTTTCAATAATTATTAATTTGTAGCTGATTTCCTGGACTGTATTGTTGTTTTCAAACGATGTCTATGGATTACTTGCTGTAGCATTGACCAGATGATAAAGTGTTACTTGTACATTAAACATGTCACTAGTATCAAGAACAAGATGTTTTTTTAGTTCCTGTTCGAACAAAATTTGAAACAAAGACTTATAAATTGGTCTCTCTTCGTCTGTCCATCCAGAGTCGTATTTCAGAACCCTCTGGACCTAAACTGTTCATTTTTTTCTTGTGCTGAGTATTTGATGTGGGACTTATGCACATGCTGTGGTTTAGTGTTTCGTTCCTAGCAGCCATTTTGTTTTTTGAAAATGAAAATATCTTGGACATGCTTTGTCAGTTTTTGTTAAAATTTGGTACATACGTTATACATATTAGGATACATGTCCATGACAATTTGTTTTATGATCAGATCAAAGATAGCCGACTAGCGGCCATACTTACCATAAACTAAAAATTTATTCAGGAACTATTTACCTGGTCACGTGACCAGTAATTTGCATATTCAATTTGAATGCATATATTATGCATGTAGCAATACTTGTCCATAACAATTCAATTTGTGATCAGATAAAAGACAATAATACGTTATCTGAGGTGTGAAAAACATTTCTCCTGTGGCATTGATAGTGACTTGATACTGGCAAAATATGAAATATATTACATTTATTGCAGCGTGTGTGGCATGTCGGGTATTTGTAAAATTCTTGAAAAACATGGTAAATTAGACTCTCCAACTGTCAAGCAAGTGGATGATTTTCTAGCAAAGAACATTTTTAAACCTGATACAAGCGGGGTAAAATTAACAGAACAAGTATCCAAGAAAAGCAAAAAGGTGAGAATATTGTACTCATGAATGGATTTAGTTTGGCCTGTGAGGGGCAACACTGGTCAATCACACTAATGGAGTGTTACCTTATTTATGGAGTATATTTTATGACCACGGGAGCACAACACTAGATTTATTAGTCTCTGGAAAGTAGAACATTAACAATTTGGATTTTAACTCGTACTTGTAACAGAGGTAATTTAATGTACCTGTACCTAAAACTGGATAATGCATATTTTCATTTTTGGTAAAATCTGAAGTGATTATCATCGTCTTGGATTTGTCAGTAATATAAAATTGTATATGACAGTCACAAACAATGTTCTTTTTTTTTTTTTTATACAAAAATGTTCTATATGATTCCTATAAGAATTAGTCCTATAGGTTTCTAAAGTATTTCTATGAAAATATTGTTACAGAATCCTTCAGCATTTTGGCCACTTTCCTAAAGGAATTTTAGGAATGACATCATGGAATTTTTAATTTGTCCCATTCATTGGTCACACAACGCATTCATTCGGCTGTTACCATGGTAGGAAGCTAACGTCGGTTTATAACTAAAACCGGGCCCCGTATACAAAGTTCACAAAAAACATTCAGTCTTCATAGGTCATTTTATTACAAGCATGTATTCTGCTGTTATTAGTCCCTGTTCGGACGCAGTCCGAAAACGGGGACTTGTGTTTTGACCTCCGTGCGTGTGTGCGTGCGTCTGTGCGTGCGTCACAATCAAACTTCACACATACATCATACATGATATTATACATATGCACATCAATTTGTTTCACGATCTGATTCAAGATGGCCGAATGGCGGCCATTTTTGTGCTAAAAAATCCTAAAAATCAACCATTTCTCGGCTGTTTACAGATGGATTTTGTTCAAACTTGGTATATACATTAGACATTATGGGACCTTGATGCAAATAATTTTGTTTTTCAGATAAGATTCAAAATGGCTGACTGGCGGCCATTTTGTATTAGCTAATTAGTGAATATGGTTCCATACCTCTGACTTGCTTTCACTGATTATGTTCAAATTTTAAATATTCATTATACATCATGTCATAGATAGACAGATATACTGGTTTGACGATCCTATTCAAAATGGCCAAATGGTGGCCTTTTTTGTGCTAAACAATCATCAAATATCAAGCATTTCTGGCACTTATGGATGGATTTCGTTCAAACTTGGTACATATATTAGACATTACGGGTTCCTGATGCTCATCATTTTATTTTTCAGATTGGATTCAAAATGGCTGACTGGAGGCCATTTTGTTTTAATGATTGGGCTTCTAGAGCCATATCTCTTTAAATGCTTTGACTTATTATATTTAAATTTGATATATTCGTTATACATCATGTTATATATACCGTACTCGACCGCGTTAGCGCCCAGGGGCCTCAACTCAGAAAATCATGATTTTTTTTAGGGGTGGGCGCTTACCCGAGCACCCCCCTCGAAAAAGAGTGCAAATGAAAAATTTGATTCATCAAGTGACAGATTACGTCTTTGAGGGAAAATCAAATTACGAAATTAGTTATAAAGTCGTCATTGATTTTCACAATGAAGAAACAGAAATTATCACAAAAAATATGCAAATTTTATTATACAATATTAATTACGTACCACCAGAATTTACGAAATTAAAAACATTTGGGTCTGTTGGAACACAGTCGAAGTCAAAATTGTCATACTATCTCCACTGATGAAGGTGTTGGATCGTACGCAAACTCTCGATGAAAATCACTTTCCGCCATGATGCATTTGCATTTGACCTGAAGCAGCGTCCTTTGACATAATGGTTCAAGTCGATTATTTGCCAATCAGAATGCCGTGTTGTATTGACGCAAACTTTCCGGTAACGCAATGCGGAAGTGAATTATCGATGTCGAAGTACGGTCTGTTGGAATTGATTTCAGCGAATAAACAACATGGTTTTTCCAAAAAACTAGTAACTAGCCATTTTTGAGAGGTAAACTGAATATGGCATGAAATATTTACCGCATTTTACTTGTATTAACAGGTCATTGTCGAAGCGTAGTTTACGCACGGTTACCGTGTTCTACGCATTCACAATCTGTTCACAGCGATCGATATCCACGCTGTATCATATAAAAACGATTACCAAGATTCGTTATGCAAGACCAAGTTTTAAATTAGTTGCATTTTGAAGGGGTGGGCGCTTTGCCGAATGTGACCCCAAATATAAAAATTGCGCAAAAGTGGGGGGTGCCCGGGCATGGGCGCTAACGCGGTCGAGTACGGTATATGTATTCAAAATGGCTGATTTTGAATGCTGTTCCAGAGCAATATTTCTCAATATGGACAAGTACTTGTTTGACGATCAGATACAAATGTCAATCATTTTAATGTTAAAAAATCATATTCCTGACATGGTTATATTCCAGCTATATTACTATAAACAAAACTATATATCTTAAATGTGATAACTAACGGGGACTGTGCCATACATGGCTTGTAATTATTATTTTCGACCATTTTGCGATTGTATTTTCTAGATTCTTTGAATAAACGCAGCATTTACAGTTCATTCAAAGTTTCTTTGGCATTACGTTGTTACAGTATAACAATGTCAGCACTGGTGATCTTTTGTTGGTGCGCAACGTGGCCAAAATAAAATGCATGATCATTTGAACACTGCTATTCCAAGACTGATAGGAGGAAATACATTTGGGGCGAAAGTGTTGTCATGACAGTGGTGGGCCAGGAATTGTTTTCCAATTAGTGACGTATGAACTGCCAGCCAAATCTGCCAAGCCAAAAATATCACATAAGCGATTACTGGTGAAAAAATACCCAAAATTTGAGGTCAATTTCTTGGTAATCAAAAAACCAAATAGTGACTTTGTGCCCACACTCAAGCTGAGTAGAATGAGCTATGTCCAAGCTTTTTTGTCCTGGAATTGTAGGGCGACATACATTTGGCGCAAAGGTATTCAAAAAAAACATTTTTTGGGGCTGTTTCCATGGCAATGGTGGGCCAGGAATTTTTTAAGATTTTACCACCTAACTAGAATGAAGGTGTGACTTGCCTGCCAAGTTTGAACCAAATCGACCCAGCCAAAAAAATCACAGAACCGTAAAAAGCTGTTCCAGGTGAATAGTTACTTCAACTTTGGGGTCAAATTTCTTGGTAATGAAAAAAAAAAATCAAATACACATGTAGTAACTTTTTGCCCGCACTTGAGCTATGTCCTAGGTGTTAATCCTAAATTTGTAGGAGGAGATACATTTGGCACAAAGCTATTCAAAAATCAGTTTTTTTGGCTGTTACTGCAATGGTGGGCCAGAATTTTTTTCAGATTTCAGCTGCCAAGTTTGAGCAAAATCGGCCAAGCCAAAAAAATCACAGAAGAATTAATACATGAAGACACTGGAAATCACACACACAGATGCACACACAGACACACACACAGACGCACACACACAAAAATGATTTTAAGAGCAATCCTAGCAATATTTTTAGTTCACTTTAGTTAAATTCCAATAGGATTCTTATAAGATTTCTATTGGAATTTGTTCTGTATGAATATTGAAAAATATCCTATAAGAATTCTATTTAAGTCTACTATGTTTACTAATTAATGTTTTGTTTTTCTTTTGAACAATTTTTAAGTACCATATTATTACATGTACATAAATTACAGCGGTATTTCTATGGTGAAAATAATTAATATTTTAATGTTTCCGATTTCCAACAATAAATGCTATTTTTAGTTCATATGCACCTCTATTGGAGATCTGCTTCTAATAGAGCAAACACAGTACAAATATTACTACTAAATAAACAATTTTGTACATACAGATATGAAGTAACAATATCTGGTTTTATTTTCTCAGTCTCTTCGCTATCATGAACGTGCCGAAATAGTAGCCCATCCACTTTCAAAGCAATTACTGAAGATAATGGACAGCAAACAAACGAACCTAGCATTTTCAGTGGATGTGACTAAATGTCAACAAGTGTTGGAGGTATTGTTGATATTGAACATTTTATTTTGTATAACTTTGTATTTGGTTAGTTTATGCGTACAAAGTGACAGAACAGATATTTATCCATGTGTAGTGTGATAATGTGATGAAGATCCCACATTTCCGGGGTACAGTCACTTCGCCCGAAATCCACTTCGCCCGAACTCCTTCGCCCGATTACCAGTTCGCCCAATTACCGGTTCGCCCAATTACCGGTTCGCCC